TTGCGTAAGTACAGGAGGTAATTGCACTCAGCTGGTGGTCATTAGGCTCCTCTCCAGACTATAAAAAGACTGCTTGTGCACACGCCCCTCTTGTAGAAGTCAACGCAGGAACTAATGTTGGAGAATAGAATTGTGAGCTTGGCAGGCTGGATTGCTGCCATGGCTTATCTGTGTTGGATTGCTGCCAAGGCTTATCTGTGCCGGCTTGCTGCCAAGGACCTGTCTGTCTGTTAATAAATTCCGGAAAGTATCCTTGACTCGGAGTGTGTTGGTGTGGGAAGAGGGGGGTCAGAACAATAAACTAATTTAAAAAGGCATTAAGATGCAAGTACATAAAGACAAACATTTGCAATGTAACATCATGATGCATGTGTCACCAATTTCTCAATATTGTAGTTAGCTATAGATTCATCAGCATGTAATAACATTTTATTCCCACCCTACCCCATTGATTGTTCTTTGAATATCTGATTAGGTAGGCAAAAGTTTCAAAGGCTAGATGAAAAAGAAAAAAATGGTATCTTTGGTATGTACCCTGACATAACCTTAACCGAGGAGAAGGCGTGCTATTATTAATAATCTATTATCATTTGGGAATTGAATAGATCATATCAATTCAAAATACAAAAGTTTGGGGAAACTCTAAAGAAATTAAAACTTACTTCAAAAATCCCAAGGAACGATATCAAAGACTTTTTCATCATCAAAGAAATTATAGCTGTTGGGCCTTGTCTATTTTGGGGTAAACCAAGAGCAACAATTAAAATTTTGATATTGTCAGAATCTTGACTGCTCTGTATAAGTCTAGCCTTTAGTGATACACTGTAGTTGGAAAAAATACCCTGTAATCTACAAGCTAAAGTAGCTGTTAAAATCTTAGCATCCACATCAAGAAAAAAAGGTATCTATAGTTAGCACAGTGAGTAACATCCCTGGCAGCTTGAGAAATCAATGCAATATTTGCCTCGTTAAAATTAAAAGGCAGCATTTGCCCAAAATTGGAAACAAAAAACTATTCCCTCAAATGCAGAGATTATTTTAAAAAAAGGTGCTAGAATATGTGGAAATGGACAAACTAACAATGGAAATAAGAGATAGAAAGGAAACATTATTATGTATTCATTATGCATTGATTTTATATCTCTTTTCAAGCCAATTATACCACCTATTCCATGTCTTGTAGTAGAGTACAAGTAGTAGAGTACTAGAAGACATGGAATAGGTGGTATAATTGGCTTGAAAAGAGATGTAAAATCAATGCATAATGAATACATAATAAAAGGAGATGGTATATGTTCAGAGATGTAAATATTGTGTGTGTGTGTGTTTGTGTGTGTGTGTGTGTGTGTGTGTGTGAGGCAGAAATTTGTTTGCAAATAGCAACAGCAATAGCAGTTAGACTTATATACCGCTTCATAGGGCTTTCAGCCCTCTCTAAGCGGTTTACAGAGTCAGCATATCGCCCCCACAGTCTGGGTCCTCATTTCACCCACCTCGGAAGGATGGAAGGCTGAGTCAACCCTGAGCCGGTGAGATTTGAACTGCCGAACTGCAGCTAGCAGTCAGCTGAAGTGGCCTGCAGTGCTGCATTTAACCACTGCGCCACCTCGGCTCTACTCTTTGTCTTCTACTTGAGGCACCACTCAAGTAGAAGGCAAAAACTCAATATACTTTTTAGTACGAATCATCTGGAAAAGTACCAAGATCAAAAGTTTTTCCACAATTTAGTGGATTTAATTGTACTGGCAATTTCGCAAAGCAAAAGATGTGAAGTCTTTCGTTCCTCTCAAATGTGAACTGCAGTTCTAACAATCAAGAAGTTGCCTAACCTTTCACGCAACCATAGTAGGGAATTTTAAACTCTATTTGATTGGATGTAGTAAAAATTGATGGCTCACACCTTATACTGAGCCAGAAATCACAATTTAAGAACCACAGTTATTATGTATACATACTCCAGAGCTGGAGGCACCGTGTTAGTGCTCTTACTCAAGGATTTGGCACACAGTGAGAGGACTAAGGGTATGGCTTTCTCAAAGACCATGCTCTAGTTATTAGCTCAATTCCTAACTTATTTCAGAAAACAATTAAACATATGCCCATTTACTTAGGCATTTATAAATAATAACCCATGCCAGGACCAGAACAATTTTTATAGAACTATTGTATTTCTAAACAGTGTTTCATTGTCTCGGTTTTAATTTAAGTCTCCAAATCATTTTCCTGAAAATTTTTGTCCAGTCTTGTGGCAGGAAAATTGTACTGTATAGCAATCAATAAATA